CCATGCCGGACCAACCAATAAGTAAATCACATGAGTACCTCATATAACCAAGAGAACAAGTATTCAGATAGTTAGAAATTCAATGAACAAGTATCTTTAACTGTGCCTAAAAACACAATGGAAGTCTAGGCTAAATCAAAGAGCTCTAGAAAGTCATTAAAAAAATCACAAAAAGGGAACAGATGCTAAGTAATTTGAAACTAGCCTATGATAGCTCAGACTTCACCAACCATGAGACACTGGCATTCATAGTCCTGAAACAGATTGGATCTAAAAATGCTGGTAATGCTAGTCATAATATAGAGGTGGATGGAGAGTCCACAGTACCCACAACTTGTATCCTCGTTCATAAAGCAATCAAGTGTTACTAACCAAACATTCTAAAATGGCATAAAACAGATACTAGTACAGAGTTAGCAAACAAGTACCAAAAAAATAAAACAACTAGATGAAATCCAACTTTTGACTAGCTGCTATAGTCCATTGTCAAAGGTCTTCCATGGATGGTTCACTTCAGTAATAACTAATATCCTCAAGGAAATAAAAAGACAAGAAATTCAAGACAGCCTATAGGGAATTAAAGAATGGGTAATCTAAAAATACAATAAAAAAATACTTGTCTACCACTGTTACTAACTTTTGACTAGCTGCTATAGTCCATTGTCAAAGGTCTTCCATGGATGGTTCACTTCAGTAATAACTAATATCCTCAAGGAAATAAAAAGATAAGAAATTCAAGACAGCCTATAGGGAATTAAAGAATGGGTAGTCTAAAAATACAATTAAAAAAAATTCTTGTCTACCACTGTTACTATCTTTTGACTAGCTGCTATAGTCCATTGTCAAAGGTCTTCCATGGATGTTTCACTTCAGTAATAACTAATATCCTCAAAGAAATAAAAAGATAAGAAATTCAAGACAGCCGATAGGGAATTAAAGAATGGGAAGTCTAAAAATACAAATAAAAAAAAATTCTTGTCTACCACTGTTACTATCTTTTGACTAGCTGCTATAGTCCATTGTCAAAGGTCTTCCATGGATGTTTCACTTCAGTAATAACTAATATCCTCAAAGAAATAAAAAGACAAGAAATTCAAGAGAGCTTATAGGGAATTAAAAAATGGGTAGTCTAAAAATACAATTAAAAAAAAAAATTCTTGTCTACCAATGTTACTAAACAACGACAACCACAAAAAACACTTTAACGAAAAACTTATTCCATGGTTCACAAACAAATAAAATATGTATGGAAAGTGTAATTATTTCACAAGGATAAGATTTAAAAAAGAAGTGTGAAATAGATCTTATTTTGGAGTCCATAATACCCTAAAACCTTAATTTGAACACAATTCCCAACATAAAACAGAATTTCAATGTTCATAGTCTAATAACTATAAATAACAAATAATTATGCTAAACAAAGTAAATCAAAACTCGTGGAAGGTTCTCATTAGCTAATATCGAAGAGAAATGCCATACAAAATGCTTAATTACAAGAAAAAGGTGCTAGAACCATCTCAATCCGTAAGTATACATGAAAAGGAGTTTATGAATATTTTCAATATTGATGAGAGCCAGCTGGAAATCAGTCTGCAAGTACATAAGGTGTAAAATACATTCTAGAAAAGAAAGCTTTATTTGTGCTACAACTTAGTTATTACTTTGAAATATTATACACATGCTTTGCTACTAAAAACAAGTTTGTTTTCTATAAATTGTAAAGTAATAAAACTCACTGAAAGTTAATGAAAGAATGATTTATCTTACCCTATATAAAGTGAATTCACTAGGTCAAAAGAGAACTTACATGCAATAGTATACAAAACATCATTAAATGATAAAAATAATTTTTGGTGGAAAACAATAATTTTAATCAGTTCTTAATTTTCTACTATGCTTTATTAATTTGAAATGAAATAATCATTTGGTTTTTACATACCCAGGGCTGACTTGGGACAGCCCAATAAATCGAACTGAAACCTTTTTTAACTTAGGATATACTCGACGAACCTATAAAGAACAAATGCATGAATATCAACATAAAAGTTTCTTAATTCTTTTATAAACAGCACCATTTTTATACAAGAGTTATGTACTTCAAACACTTAAATAATCTTTCTTATGCTTCATTTATTATATTTAGAAACTCTTGATTACTGTTCGTTAAGATAAAATTATTATATGAGAAAAGTGGATCATTCCTTCACAAATGTAATGATAATCAAATCATGATAACATTCTAAAGAGTGTATTAAAGCTAAAAGAGTAATGATAATCAAATCATGATAACATTCTAAAGAGTGTATTAAAGCTAAAAAGAAGAAAACATATTTCATATTGATTATTTCTACCTCTAATCATAATTTTAGGAGTATAAGCTTTTGAAAGAGAATGAAAAAATCAGATGTAAATGACATTACAGTGTTCAAAACATCAAATAAAATACCAGACAAAACCCATCACACCTGAATATTATAATTTAAAAGTAATTTTCTTTCGTTTCTAGTACAATATGTGAGTACATAAGTGGAAAAAAAAAAGTCATCTTTGATACTGAAAATTAAACTTGTTACAGAGAAAACAACCTGAAGACAACGAGATAGCATGATCACAAATTTTAAAAGATTTTAACTATTATTTTTTTTAAAATTTTAGATACAAATTTGTAAATAATTTTAACAAATATACAGAAAAACATGATGACAATAATAATAACAAATGCCACATACCACTGCTGGCCAGTAGAGCTTTTTATTATAAACCCACACAATATCATCTTTGTCAAAACCAAATGCTAAACAACAGAAAGAAAATCAAATTAAATTTGTACTTTTGTTTCAAAATCCATTCAATTTCTTGAAAACGTAGTTCACATTCAAACAAATATTTCTCATACAAGCTAACAAAACATATTTAAACACAGAAAAAATTATACGTAATAAAATCAACTACACTTAATGTGCTTAATTAAAAAAAAAAAGTACAATTACTAATAGCTAGATTTGTTTGCAATTCCATGTACATGAATGCTACACCTGTATGAGAAATTGATAGTTTTAGAAAACCATTTTACTCTTCTCTACACATTACAGATTTAAAAGTTTTCGTATCTTAATAATTAAAGTTTTACCAATGCCTCAATCACACTGGTGGTTTAATTGATATAAGAAAGAGAATTCAAGGATACTGTACTATATATTTTAATGCACTTAGATGTAGAGACAAAACAAAGAAGGTAAGATACATAGAACATAACAGTTACAAAGCGACACAAGTCTTTCTATATAAATACTATTATGGCATAATATAAAAATAACAAAAATCTTAACATATTTAAAAATGAGTAAACAAGCACCATTTTTAATGGGTGTGTCACATGCTGAAGACATATCATTGTCACTGTCTTCTTCAATGTCATTTTCAACTTCATCTTCCTGACTATGGATGAAATACATTAGTTAAAACCTTTTAAGTAGTATCTAATTATTATTTTGTAGGTAATCAGTAAAAAAAAGGATTGGTCCAAATAATTTTTTATGCTTATAAACCAGTAGAGACAAGATTTGGCTAGGAAGAATTCTCGGACTCATGCATAATTAACTAAAAAATATATTAATAAGATTCAATTTTACTCAAAAATGATAAGTGCCATTCACTTTTGCTCTCAAAAACCTTTGTTGTTAATAGTTTTCTGTTACATCTTGTTACTGTTCCTCCCAATGTTTCAAGGATGATATTCAGTGATTAATGCTGATTTAAGTTTCGATTGTGTTAATACATCATAATATTCTTGGAAGTATGACTAATGAGACAAAAAGAAAGAAATTGATACAGATGTAAAGTATCACATTTAACCCCTAACTTAAGCTTCTTATACTGTTCACTACAAGTGTGATCCACATATTACATCACAATGAGTAATGTCTTGTTTTTTGCCTGTAGCAACTTGCTTCGTAAAGAACTGACAAATATCAGTGAGTGAAATCACTCATTTTCTATGTGAAATACAGAGTAAGTAGTACAATTAATAGCATTTTCTGTGTGATTCAGATGTTATTATGGGTCCTGTAAACAGCAGTTATTGACCTGCAAGTAATTTGATGCATAAGTAGTTTAAAAATGTAAAAAGCTGATTGGGATGCATATGGACCCTGTTGGTATTCTAGGGTTAAATTATATGAAATCTAAATGTTCCTGCATATTTTTTCATTATTAATAAAACTCCCTTAACTTTCACATATAATCAGAACCTTGAATTGAAAATAAATGTTATTTCTCAAATAATTACAGGTCTATGAGCAGCAAACTTCTAAATTTATAGAGCAAACTTAAATGTATTACATTTATATCATATGCAGGTTTACTCCATATTTTTCAGAAGCAAGTTCACCCTGTATTTCACTAGAACACACATATTTCAGGCTCCTTTGGAAAAACCTATTTCATTTATACTCTTACTGTACATAGCAAGTCAGATGACATGAATTTCCAGGAAGCATTACATTTTCAATTTTATATTTTTTGAATTACCATAAAATTTTGTATTATATTTTTGATGATAATTACAATCTGTTCCATGAAATGAAAAAACATAGAAACTACTTAATAAAAACTAAAGCACTACTTGAAGACATTGTTTTAACTTACTATTTTAAACTTGGACAATCCTATTGAAAGATACATGAGAATGATCACTGTAAGTTACTGTTAAAGGCTTATCAATCACCATAGTGTGGCACTTGCAACAAGCTTTCTGAAGTAATTTTAAGGCTTAACCATTGTTTAAAACTGGTCTTCATAGATTATCAATAATGGGCAAAAAAATGCCAGTGCTTCTTAATGGAATTGGCTGAACGCTGTAATCTACTGAACCCACTGGCCACCACTAATTCCAAGATCTGCACTTACTGAAGTTACTCTCAATCTAACTAATGTACAACTATTATAAAAGTTAGCAAATGACAAAAACAAATGTTTAAAAAGTATCAAAAAATATCTTTACTTTAATATGTCTGAAGAGTATTACTGTACATTGATAATTAAAGTTGCTTCATATAATAATAGTATTACAACTAAAAAATAAAACTTTATGGATTACCAGATTTCTATATGTTTAAAAATATTTATTAATAATGTAAATATATCAGGAGCAAAACCTTAATTAAACATTGTCTAAATTCAAGCTTATTTCACATTTGGCTGCAGCAAACTTACACAAGACATTACACTTATCTGAAGCATACTTACTACAGTTATTGAAACACGTTTTTTTTACCCAGTATAAAAATACAAACTAATTTGTACACACCTTTATAACACATTATTGAATTTCAATTAAATTTAAAACATTTCATGTCTACATCTAGTTACACCCATGTGCTTTTATCACTTGTTAGACAGTAATGTAAATAGAGAATGCACTACTACTGAATATAGTAAAAACTTACACTCCATTAAGCTCTTGATGTTTGCTCCCAATGTCTCCATTTGACTTTTTTTCTGATTTATCTAGAGAAAAGAGCTTTCTTTTTGTATCTTTTTTAGCAGAAGTTCTATTACTTGTTGTTACAGCACTAATCATGTTACCTGACGGGCCTTTCTGAGCATCCACTCTCTCAGCGCCAAACCTACTCTGTAATTTTTCTTGAACAGTTTCTTTTTCCATACTCAAGAATTCTTTTTGAGCTGAGCTTGGGCACTGTGCCTTATAGTGATAGATAAGGTTACACAATCGGGATGTTGAAAATCCACAATCAAAACAGCTGTATACAAGTGATTTTGGGGGAGGTGTATTCTGATACCTTATTCGAATATCATACTCCTTTTTAGGATTTATTTGCACACTTTGTTGTTGCCTTTTCCCCTCTTCCACAGAAACTGTGCTTTCTTTGCATTTCTTTGACACGGGTTTCTGTTTAATATCTCCTTTCACTTTCTTAGATTTAGTTAACTCGCAGGTTTTGGTTCTTTTCCTCGCTTTGGAATGTGGCAACTCCTTACCAGTTAGTTCTGCCCATCGTTCCTCTAACAACTCACTAAAATTTTTCTTATTTTGTTTTCGCACTTTATGTAAGCCAGGTGTAATTACTGGCTCACTAGATTTTTCAACCTTTCTCTGTTTTTTAGACACAACATCTTCTAATTCACTGCCACCAGAAGAATCTTTTTGCTTTACTTTTCTTCCCTTTTTCTTTATATGCTCTGCATTATCTTCTGATTATTTTATTTTTTTCTCTTTCATTTTGTCACCTTCAGAACGAGATTCAGTTGTTACTTCTTGCTCTTTAAAGGAATTACTTAATGGATCAATTATAATCTGATCCTCCTCAATTCTCCCACCTTCATTTCCATCACCTTGACTTTGGTATGATATTGGAATGCTTTTTACTTCACAACTCACGTCTTCAGAGGCATTTTCAACTTTCTTCACACTTGATCTTAAATTAAATGTTTTTAGTCCAACAATATTTGAAGTTTTACTTCTTTCATGATTCTTAAGATTTATCTCATCTGATTTTTTATCATCCAAGATGTCTTCTACATTATCCAAAACTGTATTTTCAAATGATTGGGGGCTTTTTTCATCAATATTAGAATAAGTATATATTCTTCTTTGTTTTACTGTTTGAGGTTCTTTATCTTCTGTTATAGTCTCACTTTCATCATTTACTTCTACTTGTTCATTAGATTCAAGTGTCTGAACTTTTAATAGTGATTTATTCTCCTTATCTTTGCTGAGTACCATAGTATCACCTTTACTATCTGTTTTCTTACAACTTTCAAAAACCTGTTCTATGAGAAGAAACTTACCTTCACTGAATTCTTCCTCAGCACTATCAATCAAATTACACTCAGTTTTCTTTCTATCAACCTGTATATCAGATCCTGACTCAAGTGCTACTGCTGTTTGTAAATTGTTCTCACCTTTTTTTGTAATCTTTAGTTTATGATCTGTGTCTGTTTCTTCTTCCAATCCTTCAGAATCACTCTTCTTTTTACCAGAACCATCAACATCATTATCAGATTTTTTTGAGCCTTCTTTCATAAATGTACCAGCAGACCTCATCATTTCTCTCAAACTGTTATCTATTCTGTTTGTACAGTCATCAGTTGTCAAGAACGACTCAATATTTTTGGTTAAATGTTGGTTATCTTCAGTATCTTTATCAATATCTTCAAATAATGTTTCAGATGCACCAAGACTCTGATCTGAAGTATTTTCAGGATTTATTTCCTTTGTAGAAATAGGTAGCTGGATGTCATTTATACCAGAATCTTGATCTATATTCTGCTGGTGAAAATCTTTCTTGAGAGTTTGGATAACACTTGAATCACAGCTTTTAGGTACCAATTCTTTTTTATCATGTTCTTCCGAAGAAACCAAAACTTGAATTTCATTAGTACTACATAACTGATCATCCACATCATCTTTGTCACATTTCTTCTCAGATATCTGTCCATTACTCATACTTGATGCTTTTGGTATTAAGCTTTCTTGATTGGATTCGTTTTTACAAGTTGATATCTGGTAATAACTTTGAGCATAAGTTCTATTATGGTAACATTCCTCCTTGGAAGTTGTAGTATGGAAATCAATTGGGCCAGAAGCATGAATTCCTTGTTCATCTTTGTCGTATTCTTCCACAGAATTTGAATCTTTGCTATAATTTAGATTAGAAATAGAAGTTATGATACTCTCTTGGCCACATTCAACTACAGAAGTTGAAATTTTAATGTCACTTGAATCAGGCAATTGAGTTACCTCTTTTGTCAGGTTACAATCCTTCTTAGAGGTTGAAACTTGGTTACCACTAGCTGCTTCATTTTCTGAGTCATGTTCCTCAGTGGATATTGAAACTTTAGCATCAGCTGGAACAGAAACTTGAGTTGTCACAGAGTTTAAGTCACATTTACTTTGGAAAGCTGCAACTTTAATATCACTTAGGTTGGAATCTTGAACTCTAACATTTTCTTGTCCACATTTCTCTTTAGGAACTATAAGTTCAATGTTATTTGAACCAGAAGCTTTTGGCTGAACAGCCTCACATAAGTTGGAATTCTCTTGTCTACTTTTTATGTTGAAATCTTGAAGCTGTTTATCATTTATTTCTCCAGTACTTATGAAAGATTTTTCAGACACATGTTCTAAAACGTTTAAAGGATCTTTTTCACATTCTTCAGTGGCATGCTTTCCCTTCATATTTTCATTATTAAATGATTTAATGTCTTTGACATTTATGGTTTGTAACTTATGGATTCCTGATGGAGGTATCAAAGGTTTTACTGAAATCTCTGTTTCATGTTTTTCCACCTCACGAGATTTTATTTTACAAACATTTTTATTCAAAACCTCACTTTCTTCATTACTTTCCATTTTTCCATGTTTTGTGGCATATGGTGAGCATTCAAGAGGCTTAACTTCCCAGGAATTTTGACTTTGACAAACCAAGTCTTCTGATTTACTACTAGAGTCAACAGACTGAACTTTCTTCATATTTTCCAAGGGATATTTTCTTTCTTCAACTTCTACATCAACAGCTGCATGACCTAAATCCTGATTAGGAATTCTTGCTGACTTCTCTGTTGATGTTGCTTCATTTTTTATGGGAGAATCTGCCCTCTCAATCTTCACAATGATTGGCCTACCCAAATGACTTGGGGATTTCACATTGGTTGATTTAGTTTTACTAAGCACAGTTTTTACTTCGGAAGTTTCAAATTCAGACAAAATAGAAGAAGAAGTCTGTAGGTCTTTCTTTGAATACACATCAACCTCCTCAAAACTAGAGTTGTACAATTTCTCTGGAGTGACATAGTTTTCTAATGATTCTCTTGTCACAGTAGCAACTGGTTTAGATATTTCACAAAGAGATCCATCTTCTTCAATTACTAATTGTTTCAACTTTTCACTTTTTGATAGCATATCTGTGGGCACAGTATTCACTTGAACTTTCTCTTCATCCAAGACTGGGGTGAAAGAGCAAACAAATCCTTTATTTACGTTCTTCTGGGTTTCTTCTGAGCTTTTATTAAGTATTCCAATACGGTTAGCTTCTATTTTCTCTATTCTTATATTTTCACTTTCTGTAGATTTTTGTTTAAGACTTGAATATGAAGTGCCTGCAACATCCTGAGCCATGAGATATGTATTATCATCCTTTAAAACAACACCAGTTTCTGATTTAGAAGGTATTTCATAAGTACCACTGCAATCTTTTTCACCTTCATTTTCACTTGGAATTTCTACTAACACTGTTGTTCCCATACCCGTCAGACCAGTGTCTAGAGTTATAGGCAATTTGTTAACAGAATTAAAGTTCTGGTTAGTGTGCTCAGAGCTGGAACAAATTGTATAATCACAACCAGAATCTGGTTCTAGATCTTCTCCTTGGCTAGCATTAACTAAAAGAATAATTTCTTCTCCATTTTCCTGTGTCAAGAAAACATGTTCACCATCTAGCTCTATCTGTGGGGGTAAGTAAATTACTTCACTTTCTCCAGTGACCTGGAGAGAAGAATCAGATGACTGTACTTGCAGAAAGCCAAGAACTTGCTCTTGGATAGCTTCTCCAGCATGTGAAATTTCCTCACTTCCATCATTTGGTCCAATAGATTCCATTGTGGCTGTTTAAGAAAGAGAAATAAATCCACTCTCGTGAGTGTACTTTAAGCTTAAAAAGTCAGTGAACTTGTATGTAAGATAAACTGAATATTCATATCATAAATGTGTGTGCATTTTTTTTTTGTAGCAAAATTATAAAATCATACTTATAAGCTTACATACAGGGTGTCTCAATTTAATTTTTTATTTTTATTTAAATAAATGAAAATATACATAATGGGTGACCATACAGAAAGAAAAAAATGTGTACAATATGTGTGTGTAAGTTCATGGCATGTAATTTGAAATAGTTAAAATGAAGGTTAATAATCAATATATATATATATATACATACATAAGCATTTCTTGAATAAAGGATCTAAAAATTAGGCCAATGGTCCTGTTGGTTAAGGTTTTTACATGCAGAATCTAATCATAGGTACACAAACGAAAAGGTGTTTACCACAAAATGATTTGTATGCAAGTGATAAAGTCTTATACCATCCACTTTTACCAATCTAGTTTTTTTTGCCTAAAAAATTAATCATTTAAAATTCAAATACCTAGTAATTAAAAAAAGCTAACAAAGTAATAATTATTCAAATGTTTTTATTGCCTTTCAAGTCTCCTACTTAAGACATAAATCTTAAAAACTTGTCAAAAACTCTACTGAATTACTAGGATTTTTCACTATGTAGCTCTTGTACAGTTTAGAAGGTTTTTAAGTTATTTTATAGAGACCATGTAAAGAAATGAGGGGGGGGGATTATTTTGTTTGTTAAAAACAACCTAAATATTTATGTGATACAGGAAATTTCAGAGGTCAGTAATAATACAGTTTATATACATGTATATACTAAGTTGATCAATGGGGAGGTTAAATTAGGCTTATCAGAATCTTTTTTTATAGGTCTCTTGATAAGGAAATTGCACTGACACAAATTACTTACAGAGACTGTTTATTCTGATCATGCAAGGCTGACTGGACTCGACTAGTGGCAACCTTCTGCATTCTCTCATTCAAACATCCTACACTCTAATTAACTAGCCTTTCCCCAACCCTTAACCCATTAACTGCAGATAATGGATATTTCCGTCACTGAAGTTCCATGGCTCAGCTGCGAATGACAGAAATATCCGTCAGTCGCACAAATATATAACTATAACTCTATGCGAATGTTGAAAATTACTGTTTTATTGTGATTGATGGCAACTCAGTTTTATCTGCGAGTCAGAAAACGGCAAATGAGTTGCTCTTGCAACAGTTAATGGGTTAATGATGTGATTTACTTAATCTTCTCATATTGGGAGCCTACCATTTCAAAACCAACTACTGCTTAAACTGAAACTGACAATTTTAAAGCTTGTAATATGCTACCAATATCAAACACATTTAACACTTATTTTTTTCATACATATATAACATAACAAGTATTAAATGTGTCAGATCTTGGAGCCTGAAACTTATTCTATTAGCCAATCACTCTGTTAGAGAAATAAATCCTTCTTAACTAAAGTTTTGCCTGTCCTTTTTCATGTCTTAACCCTTTCACTGCTCAATCAATTCTCAGGCTGATTCCCAAAAAGTGTCAGTTATCCACCAAAAAATAAAAGTATTAATTTGACCAATATTAAAAGAAGCTCATTTTCTATATCTGACAGTAATATTCCTTGAAAACCATATTGGATAGTAAAAAAATAATGATTCAACCAAAAAAACTGAAGAAAATTAGAAGAAAAGTGTTCTCCGTTAAATGACATAAATATAGGCAAAACTAAGTCAATAAGAGGCCAAAATCATTTCAAAATATAAAACAAATTATTTAGATAACAATATCCAAAATATAAAGAAGCTATATTTATATAGATTCTATATATGTTCTTTCAAAGTTGGCAATTTTGTAATGAGGATATAAACATCCAAGTTTCATAGCGCAGAACACTGATGGAAGCATACATACACGTTTGGCGACTGTTTCAGGTACAGGGGGATATTATCACATGTTGCAGTAAAGGAAAACTTTTTTGGGTAGTCAGTGAGTATGAATGTTTATTTGGATATATCAGAACTATGCAGCAAATGGGTTAAACTCATGCCCTCACATCCTGTTGTCTTTAGAATCAAGCACAAAGAAATAAGAGACCTTCATCCTATTAATTCTCAGGATAATCTTGAATACTTCAATAACATCAACTCTTTCTCTTCTTTTCTCAGAATGAAATAACCTAATTGATTTTAATCTATCCCCATAAGATAACTCTTCTAGCCCAAGAATCATTCTAGTAGACAATCTCTATACCCTTTCCAATAAGTCAATATCCATGCTTCTAACTTACACATAAATCACCATTGAATTTTAATACATCACATTTTTCTTACAAAAAACACTTTAATATAGGCTTTAGTGTGCTTATTACAGTTAAAAGCGTTTATAAATACACACTAAACAAGTGTCTTAGGTATTTGTTCACATGCACAGTGCAACATTGTAATAAAATTATAAATATTCAAATATTGTTATTATTAACTTGTCTCTATCATTTATGAATTACGTACTTTGTTCTTTAGTAAATTTGATAAAATTAACAAGTTTTTTCATGTAAAACTTTAATTTTCATGTTGAATTTTATGTAAACATCACAACAGTCATGTGTATATTTTATTGAATAGATATAATTTAACAAAGAAAGGTAACATTCATCAGACTTGCCTACACAATTTTTTTAGCTTAATTATAACTGTATGACAGACTACAACGTTTAGGGAACGCAGTGAATTTACAATGCCAATGAGTATGAAAATCTTTAAATAATACTAGTATTACTATTAAAAACACCTTCTCTAACAACAAAGACAGTAATATTACCAATACAAAGTGATTTTCAAAATTTCAATGTTACTTCGTTAGCAACTGTGACAGTCACAAAGTGTACTTTAAATTGACTTAATTATACACTCGAGTAATAATATCAAGTATAGCTGCTTAGATTTTTCCGCAGCTAGGCCTACATCACAAACAATAATATACACCTATTTTGAGGTATGAAATGGTAGAATAATTGATTAACATTTACGTTGCATTTCTTGATACACTCAGTGTTAGATCGTAAATCGAGCATATTTTAACATTAGCGAAAATACATATCAGCTTGTAAATTTCTTACGTACCATTAATTATTCGCCGAAGGCCAAACGAAAATAACAAAAAAGCGCACCCTATACTAGTATTATTTTGTCTTACAATGGTCTATATAATTATTCAGATATGTATTTATCATACTACAAAGCATCATTTTAGATAATTTTATAATCAATTTACAATTCTTTAGTCAATAATATTTTAAAATTCAACAATTAAGGTAAGGTTTTATCAAAACTGCTAAGAGTAATACTCCTTAAGTTAATGATAAAGTGTTAACGGAACATAGGGATAAGAGGAATGTGGTCTTTCAAGGATGTCCCTGCACACCCACCCTTGAGAGAAAGGAAAAACTTATACATATCCTTAATTTTTTAGAAATTACATATTCCTTTTTAAACTGTTGCAAAGTGATGACTTCCATTATTGCCAACGAAAACTCGTCCCATAAACCGATCAACCAGTTAAAAAAAATACTGTCTTACCTGGAATGCAGCCTGTCTTTTGCAAATCTTAATCTTGTGTCTTTTCGTCTCAATTTCTTTGGATCATAGCGAAAAGAAATTATAGGCTTTTACTCTCTCTCTCTCTCTCTCTATATATATATATATGCCAATCTCCTGGAAAATCTTGTGAACTTGAATAAAATCACTTCGTACCCTTCTCTTCTCAAAAGATAATAAGATTAAAGAATTTTAATCTCCCAAAGTAATCCTCCGATTCCGGGAATCACCTCAGTAGCACTCCTCTGAACTCTTTCCTGTTGTAATATCTTTTTTTTTTAGATAAGGATAGCCTAACTATTCATGGCGTTCCACTTGAGGTCTAACTAGTGATCTGTATATAAAAGTATTTAACTCATTTGTCTTGTAATCAATATGTCTATAAATACACCCTAAAATCCCATTAGCTTTGCTACTGGCAACACAGCAATGTCTCGAAAACTTGTGTAACTTATCTACTACTATGGAAAGATCCATTTCTTCAGTCACACTATTGAATGGATTCCAGTGTGTATTAACTTTGAGATTCTAATTATGATAATACAAATGCATTATTTTACACTTGTGCTCTGCCATTGTGGGTATCGAAATCTGATTCTCAGCGTTATAAGCCCTTAGACTTAACACTGAGTCACCGGGGCAATTAAAGGTCGCAGATATTTGTCCAACTAAACAATCGATCTAGATCACATCGTAGTAACTTAACATCCTCAATATCGTAGTAACTTAACATCCCCAATATCTAAAAGTTTTATGCCAGTCGCATACTATTCTAATTTACTACTTATGCTCCTGTTAGTATCATTAAAGTAAATAATGAAAAGCAAAGACACAACAAACATTGACTCCTGAAGCAGTCCACTAGTAACAAGGGTTCAATTTGCTTTCTTTCATCGAATCATCTCTAGATCCAATTTAACAGTCTTTCCCTCGCTCCCCACTGATGGGATTTTCTTAAAGAGTATTTTATACGGTATCTTATCAAAATCCCCGGAAAAGGTTAACTGATTAGTATTGGAAGATTACTCTTTAGTGAATCCATGTTGATTTTATTTTATGATATATTTCACTAGATGATTTTGTAACACTTTTTTATCAGGTTCTTTAAAACATTTACAGCTATCCAAGTAACATTAATTGGTCTACAATTTCCACAGCCAACCTTTTCACTCATTTTAAAAACAAGAGTAAAGTTAGCAATTCTCCAATCGTCAGACAACTACCAGATGTCTATTGATTTACCAAAAATGAAAGATATTTGACATTCTTTAAAACCCTTGGGAAAACACTTTCAGGTTCTCGTACTCTATCTATTTTTAATATTGTTACGACAGCGGAAGTCACGTGACTCTGGTAACACGTAATGAGTTCTAGAAAGATCGGGGAACATCACGAATAATCCAATATTTGCTAGGCGCCCTCCATTCTTGTATATAAGTGCGCCAGACAATTAATCGGGATTGTATAGCAGACAGAGAGATTGAAGATATAGACGGACAACTGAGTCAAGTGCGGTAGTAAGTAAAGTGCGTGAATCGTTCGTTGTAAATTATAGCGTGTGTTTAAGTTAAGCTGACTGTGGAAATTAAGTGTATTGCAAAGTTGAAATGAGAAAGAATAAACTACTTTTATTTGAGAAAGTACTTGTATCGCTGAAGTTCTTCGGAAAGAATTTTTACGAGTAATTAACAAACGACTAGAGACATAACAATATCTTAATGTTTCATTTTACCATTTTGATTTCTACATCATTCAGGTCAATTCGATCATTTCCTATAAAACTCTTAGGGTGGAATATTACTAACGATTCTTGTAAAAACTCAGCCGTCTATTAGTATTTAACAAAATCTTACCATCGGAGTCCTTTAAAGGCCCAGTCACCATTTCAATATTGTAATTACCTTTAAAATACTTAAAAATACCTTGCTGGTAGGTTTGACATTGTTTGCCAGCTGTTTCTCACAAGACCTTTGAGATTTCCCTTTTTTTTCCCACAAAATTTCTATCTTTCCTATTGTTCTGTAAGTTAGCCATTCTAACTATCAATTCAAACCCTATAATTACCTAAATTTCACCTTATTAGGAGTTATTGTTTATTTGTAGTTAAGCGTAAAGCTACACAATGGGCCACCTATGCTGTGCTTACCACGGATATCGGAAACCGGTTTCTAGTGTTATAATTCCGCAGACTTGCCCCTGTGCTACTAGAAGGAATCCGAGGGGAATCGAACCCCTAATTTTAGAAGGCCATTAGGAATCAAACAGTTTAGTTTACGAGTACTTCGAACTTCATATGATGTAAATTAATATTGCACGTCTAAGTAAAAGTAATATGAATATAAACAAAGTCTTTATTATAAAAAGCGATAATGTGGTAGAAGTCC